AAGGTAACATGCCCGGGGTTATGATAAAAATTCTGAGAAAGAGACGTCTGTAACTCGGGGTTAAGGCTAACGTATCGTTCGACGTATCCAAAGATTTTGATCGGAAAAGATATCTATCCCGACTGATAGATGTAGCAAGAAGGTCAGATGTAATTTTAGAGATATTAATATTTTTTTGTTATTAATATTTTATCTGCTGAATAATCTACGAAGTGTTACTTTTAACTAGAATCGAGTCAAACGTTGCGGAATGCCAAAGTTTCGAATAACTTCCAGATATCAAAATTTGATACCACTGGAAACCAGTATAGTTAATAATGGTATATAAGAAATATTTCACATCGAAGGAATGCAGTCATTGGATGTGACTTAAATCTACCTAGAGGTTCACTAGCATAAAGAGCGCGTGTTTCATCTCCGTGGAGAATTCGTACGCAACAGTCTTTATTACGTAAGATTACCGGTACGGTAGAATATAATGAGAAAATACATAACAGAATTAGAGCTAAGATACAAAGGCGAGATCTCACGAATGCTATTTTTGAACATAATCTCGAGTAATATTTAAGAAAGAAAAAAAAGGGTAAAGTAGGGGATAAAATAAGAGAATAAAGATCAGAGGGATTGAGAAATAGCGTAGAGGAAAATAATATACTGGCGCAAAAAGCCGGATGTTTTCGAAATAGATAAAAATGAAGAGAGAGATAAAAAAATATTTAATCCACGTAAATGATGAAATGAATATTTTCACTGTAATTTTATAAAATATAATAATGGACTACTATCTTGGTGAAAAATTTTATATCAACCATGTTTTGACTTATTTCGAATCAATTTATTCACCTCGTCGTAATTGTATGCTAAGAAAAAGCGCACAGAACCTTTTACTCGCTACAATATTTATTAATATATTCACTGTTAAAAATCCTAAGAGATGTGTTTTGTATGGAAGTAGCGCATTTGCGTTCATCGCAGAATTGGCTGTACTAGATCGTTCATTTCTACTTAACGAATAATTATACTGTGCGAAACAATTAAACAATCGCCACTATGAACGGTTGTAACACAAATTCACGTATTACTCGTATAATATCGAAATAAAGCAAACAAGCAACAAAATCAAGATCAAAGTCAATAAAATAGAATATTTTCTATATTAATGATTCTTTTATATAAATTATATAATAAAATTAAATAATGGGTTGGTGCTCCTTTATAAACAATGGCGAACTGCATCGCGTAATGTACTTAAAAATGCACGATTTCGTTTAAGATAGTAAACTCGACATCTTCTAATGTCAAATATATCCTGTTTGTAACTATGCAATTTTGATCTTGAGCGTTTCTCGGTGGAGGCAATAACTGAAGAGGATGCGAATTAAAACGATACAATTGGGTGTCTCACCACGTGTAGTATATCTTTGATAAGAATTCATTTAATCATGCTTAGATAAAAGTTTCGCAGAAGTAATCGTTGTCAGGTTCGATGAAACGAATTTGTATTAAGAATGCGCGATAAATTCTATCGAGTAATTTGTACAATAGCGTGGCCAAGCGGCAGTAACGAATCTCCCCGGTGTAATTACGAAGGGTGCCGTAACTCAGAAAAGGTGGAGTGTACGTAAAAGGGGTTCCGTGTAAGCGTGGGGCGTAATCATCCGAAGAATGAGTTAGGTAACTCGAGAAATCCGCACGTAAGCCTCGCGAGTAAAAAGCGCGATGAATTGCAAGAACTTGGGAGCTCGTTCTCGTGACTTTTTCCTTTGAATTATAGCGATCATGGGTAGAGGGTGTAGTCGTGTCGCGTGAACCGCCGCTTTTTATCTTCACATTCTTTATTATTTTCAAATTTCTTGCGATTTTTCGAGTCTGCAATAATCCCGGATCTACATAAAACGATACTTTTTGCCGAAATAATTTATAATACGGGGACTGGATACTGGATTAACACGTTCATCGTGAAACTTGCACATGGGAGAATTTTATGTGCATTCGTATGTGCATTAAATAAGTTATCGTGGAAAGATTGATCCGTAAGTGGGTTATTGAAGCTACTTAAAAAAGTATAAACACAGTTATTTCCGAGCACACAAATTAAGATTGGGTACAAATTATTTATTAGTAAAGAAAATAGCAGAGCTTTTTTGGGATAAGTTATTCTATTAACTTTCAATTTACCTACAAAAATTGCAGTTACTAGTTTTTAATTAAGGAATTAATGAAAAATCCAATATATGCAAATTAAAAATGATGTAATAAATGTCAATCGAAAATTTGTTTCCAACCAATAAATTAATTAATAATTACGATATATTTTATGTAAATAATCGATAACGAGTCTACTTCAAATATATGGAATGCTAGTTTTTTTTTCGATTTCTAAGGCTGAAACGCTTAACTATTGTTTATTGGAGCTGTCATAACTTCATACTAATTGAATAATAATATTATGTTATTTATTCAACTAAGAATTTTGTTAAATTCGTTTCCAAATCTACCACTCTAATACCTTGAAGAAATAATCATACGGTTTCGTGAAAAAAATTTCACGTGGCTAATTTTTCTAAAAGCAGAGGATATCAGAAATCTTTGCCATTGTGTTACACAATAAATACAAAGAAATTTTGAATTTCTATGATATTTTATTTACACATAAAGATAAATAATTATATAGGAATAAAATATATAATATAATATATTATAGAAAGAGAATTTTATTAAGTTCAACATTTTAATCATTTAATTTTATGCGTTTTTACAGATCGATACATTTAAAGAATACATAAAATGCATTATAACACAATTAGTCTTTTAACTAAAAGTTTTACGAGAAGAATACAGCATCAGGCACATCCTTTACATAGACATAGACATTTCCTTTTTATTCATAATAAATTTCAATAATTTTAGAATGACGAAGCAGGAAGTTCGAAGTACAGGAAAAGAATTAACGCATTTCATGCTTAATGCATCGATGTCCTTTATTCTCGGGCAAAATACGTATCGATGGGATTATAATTCCCTTTTTATCTTCCCTAATTTTCTCTTTCTTGATTCTCCTTTGAAATTCGCTTACACTGCTGACTACTTTTCAAAGGGTGTGGACGCGTCAGACTGCTGCAAAAACTCTCTATAATTAAGTGACGTAATTAGCCTACGGGTAAAGAGACTGAGAAACGAGAATTGAGATCGGACTGAGAACACTTGGCACGGATTAAACGTAAATGCTGGAAATCAATGTATTGTCGTGTTCAACTATCTCATACTGATAAAGAAAGTAGCTGCATTGAAGGCTTTTAACGTAACTTTCGACTTTTCAATTTTCAGTTCAAACTGAACGACTGCACGAATTACAACTGCACGAATTATATTTGAGCAATTTTCTTAATTTCTATCTCGATTAATATAAAATCTATAGATTCCTGAAGTTTTATTCTGAAATACGTATGAAATATTTCTTTTTCTATTTTTATTGCGACTCTCCTTTTTTTTTTTTTTTTATCGCGTTTCAGCATCGTAGTGAATAACAAGGAGGTATAGCTAGAAAATCAAACGGTACAGAACGCATTTTTTCTGGAAGATATTTCAAAAAATCGTTGAAAAACAAACGAAACCAATGTGCAAAAATGCATTTCAACGTATACGCTGTCAAATTTGTTAATGCTTAGAACAATTGGAGAGATAAACAATTTTATTTATTTTAAACTGCAATGCAATATTTGGATATTTTTATGCAGAACGTTATTTAATTCACGAGGAATTACTTAATATAAAAATATGAGATAAAAATGTGAAACAATATTCATTGTTCAAGCTTCAGATTCGAATAAATCTATGTCAAATATTTATCGAACATACTAAAAATAATATGTATATAAAAATTGATAGGAAAACACAAAATCGTAACTGGCAGATATTTCTGATGACAAGTTGTACATTTTTCCGATATTTATAGTGTATACCACCACGGAAATAAATACTTTCTATTGTAATCCTTGTTATTCATTATTCAAGTTGTGACGTTCTCGAATCAATAGATTTTTCGTAAATTTTAGCAAAACTTTTGTAACAAATTTTGTTCTAAATTCATCCTTAGAGATCTCATTTTCTGTGACTGCTTATTCCTCGCAATTTCTAAAACTAATCTGGAACATCGTTATTCTCGAATTGCGAGCGGAAACGTTCAAATGACCATGATCGGTCAAATGAACTCTCTAAAGCATCCAGCGTTATTTCGAGGAATAGGAAAAATGTCTCTACCAGTGTGACGCTACCTGAGGGAACTATACATTACATCAGATAACCAAGGAAGTTCTGCCGTTTCTCTTATGACAGAAACAAAAGATGCGAGAAATGTAGAAAAACACCAATCCGTTCATCAAAATACCTTCACACGCAATTATATATTTCCATGAAAAACAAGCTCGTAAATATCGATTTTACAAAGTTCGCAATTTTGCCAGGTGACAGATTTTTATTCATTTGAAATTTATATTCAATCCTTTTTTTTTACTTTAACTGAGTAGTATTTGTTCGTTAATCATTCAATTCTTCGTGATGGAAATTACTAAAAAATTCCATTTTGTTCTGTTCGCAGCGTTTTACAAAGGATTAAGGAGGTTCACAATGCCATCCATTTTCCATGTAGCCAGGGATTGATATATCATTGTCAGGTGGTAAACTATACTTTGGATTAATCGTGGAAGATATAATAAATGTTGCTCTGGAACGTCTCTGTTAGAAAGAGTCCATAAATAAAACTGTGCCAGTTACCATCCTCGAATCATCTTAAGAAAATCCAATGTTCTATATTGTCACACTGAATACAGACTAATTGAAATAAAGCTACACGATGCAAGAGGACATCATCGCTATATCATCTCTGAAGAAACGAGCCACTGAAATTCTCATGTAATAATTCTCTCTCTGGGAACATTCATTGTGGAATATCTTAAAAAATACAATTCATATCAACAAAGAAAAATTTATTTTTTATGGAAAGAGAAAAAGTAGCAAATAATACGAAAACATACAGAATGGCAAAAAATATCGTGTGACTTGAATATAATGATAAATATCGAGGGAACATAATTTGAGAAAGTTTGGAAAGTACATTAGAATAGGACGTCCAGGATGTCCTGTGAGAAGGCATCGCGGCGTCTCAAGTTCTTGCTCAGCAAGACTAAGAGATTAGGTTTGAGTACCGACGAGGTTGTCGGCTTGCCAGCGGCCAAAAGACTATTATCTGCCCGTGTGACTGCAGCCTCTACCGTATGGACGATCTTGGCCATGATCGCTTTAATCCTTGGCGGTGGTACGATATTAATCTTCTTCTGTGCGCCTTGTGTTACTAGGAGCAGAACGTGAGGCACGTTGTGTCGATAATCGTCCCAAAATTCATCAGGTAATTGTTCATCACATAATCATTTACGTAATTGATTTATACATGAGGAGAAGTTAGTGCAATTTCGTTAACTTCGCATTTATAATCAATGAATGAAATACACGTAAATAATATTCGATTGAAAATTAAATGAGGATTTTGAGAATTGTTGAACCACCGCTTTATGATAATATATTACTTCCATATACTCTAATATATTACAACAAATTTCCGATAAATCTCAGCTTTTCGCTTATTCTTGTATAATTTATTGTGATGTGGTTAGTGAAGAATATAACGGAAGGTTCGTTGTATATTGTTATGCGTTGAAAAGTTTTGTTCTCCAAGAGGAAACAAATCTATCGTTGCGAAATTTTTCAACGCGAATACTTATTTTATAAGGAATAAATATCTTTAACGAAGAAATAAAACATTTGATGTTTTCATAAATTATTCCATAAAAGTAATATTTTATTACAGCACACGAGCATAAAGTTTCATCGAATAAAATCAATGCACGAACTGTACTCAAATTGATATACCGATTATGACTGTCGTTATTCGCGTGAATTACTAATTTAGAATTGCGAAATTTATTTATGGTCGATTGGTATCTTGCGTCGGCCAGCCCCGTAACAAGCTGCGCAACGAAGCGCCTCAATTATTTTACGGTTGATTAAATTTACATAACACAATAATAATCACTGAGACCAGGAAGTTATTGTAATTAGTTGCTGATATATTGATTAAACAGGGGTAGACATTTTGATGTACGTCAGGCAAAGTGCCACGTAACTTAGAAGTACATTGGCGGTAACGGAAATTATTTCACACAATTCAACAAAGAAAAACATCGATAATTAAAAATAGAAGGGGAAGAAAAACACCGTTGAAATATTAACTTGGAATTTTCTAAATTTTAATTATTTATGTATCCCCACGTTCGATATTGTTATTCAAAATATCTAAAAAAAAAAAAAAAAAAAAAAAAAAAAAAAAAAAAAA